TGTCTGCTTTACAGTACGATTCAAGTACAGGCCGTTTATTCTCCGCAGGGAATGATACGATAATCCGTTTATGGAAGGTCCCTTCGGCTGGAACTAGGGTAGGGTGTTACATCACTTCAAGCAGTTTTTTGCCTTGCTCGGCAGAATAAACAAAAGTCCACCAGGAGTCAAGTTCTGCTCACTTCGTGAATACGTACTTTGAAATCGATACATTGATAGATATTTACAGAACTAATCAAAATTCCGTAGTGTAATGCTCTGGGTGGAATTTGAATTTGTATTCCTTTTTTATGTTTTTTGTTTTCCTTATAATACGGTTTCCATATAAACGAATGGCAATACTGATACACAACCTTTGTGTTCACGGGCGCCTGAATCCTTCCTTGGCGATGAACACTTTCAAACATTACTTTTTTGCACAATGTTTGCGCCTTTTACTCTAACGATAAGCATTTGAGATATTTCTTCTTTTTTTTCCGGCCTTGAAATTGCTGCGGAACAAATTCGCTCATCTCAGTCCACTCATACTACCGAGTGATGAATTTTTGAACTGCCGTGTGCTGACTTTGCGTGCCTACTGCGGGTGGGTCTCCACAAGTAAACCAATTTTTCCCGATTTTTGGGCTGGTAAACAGGATATGAACTTGCATTGAGATCTTCTTTCTAGAAGATACCCCGCAGATGGGTTCCCATCACCTGTCCGACGTGCTCAGCTAGAATATTTTTTCCTGGTCTCCTCCTTGTTTTCTATCCTGACTACGATGTTTTGCCCCCGCTTCAAGCATTCCTCGTTCATAAAAGAGGGTTCTCTTGGGTGCTGATGACGCAGTAGACTTCACCTACTCAAACCTTAGCAAGCTTTCTCAGTGATTTACAAGGTAGTGTCGATTCCGTAATGGAGAGATCGATGGGCCCTTTTACATGGTGCGTGATGCTCGCAAAAAACTTGATGTGATAATATTGCAAGCATAAATGTAATTTTGTGGTTTAGCAACAAGGTTATTCCGAAAAGCGCAGAAAACTCTGACTCTTCTGAAAAACACGCCATAACATTATACTTTTGCCACATGTCCTCCATTAGGGTTCATTTTGCTTGGTGGAAGTGTTCAATCCAATTCTTGACCAGTACACCGTGCTTATGTTTTCTGACGTTTGACCAAGTTTAGGAAGCCTGGCCATCGCATCGAAATGGTGGTGCGTCAGGTGCTGTGCCTGCAGCTCCGCAACATGCGACGTTTGTGCAAGCGATGGAACATCATACAGATTGGATCAATGATCTGATTCTCTGTTGTAATGGACGGTTTTGTAAGTTTGATCAACTGACTAAAAGAACTCTGTTCTCACATTCTTGAAGCTGTGTGGAGCTTGACATATACTTCTCCATTCTGTGGATGGATGGGTGTCAACATATTTCCTTCACGCCATCTAATTCTGGCTTCAGCTTCATTAATGAATCCGCTATTCATTTGACTATCTAAAAGTCTTCGCATCTGTTCACTTTCTGATCTTCATGACCATGATTTCATGAGTTCTTTAGCATAGTGCATATCAAAAGAGGGCGAAATCACTCGCATAGTATGAGATTCTCGTACTAGCTAGCAGATGATGGCTCGGTTAGGTATACCGTGTTAGAAAATTTCTTCCTATTTCCACTCTTAAAGAAAATCTTCCACTCCTTCCTTAGAGGCTCATTCCCTTTGTAGTCATCGCCTCTCTGTGATGCTCCAATTTTCTTTATAATCTATCTCATCTCATGCCGTAATTTCTTTTTGGGGATCCGCCTACTGCGCTAGGGATCAAATCCTAGGTTGTTCGCCGTCCTCTAGTCCCTCCGGGGTTGGTTAATTGGTACCATATTTGTGTATTAGGGTAGAAATACTAATTTGTTCATCAGTTAATTCCCACAGGTCATTGTCTCGCATTGGAAATATCTCTGATTCATATTCATATTAGGTCAGTCAGGAATTTTCAGGCCACTTTTTATCTGATACTATGAAAATTTCCAGAAAAATCTCGGAGGTTTTACATTTGGCTTGCATTGCAACCACTTTGACCAATTTACAAATATAGCCAGCTCGTTGGCACGTTAACTTATGTGAAGGAGATTCCAATTTTTGTTTCTGTTCCAGTGCCTCATTTTTTTATGAGTATTTATTATGTTCTTCCAATGGTCAGGCTGAGTTAAGCTTCCATCACAGGAGGGATATGGGCTAGATTCTTCAAACCACGGTGCATCATTGTTACATTCATCTGGGGTTGGCTTTCCTTCAGAAGAAGACGCCTACATGGATAATTTCCATGACTTTGATGGTTGAGTATCGAAGCTCTACGTGCCTGTTGAGAAGGAATCTGAACATTGAAAAAACATGAATCTGAACATGAGCACGTCAGCCGCCATTTGGCAGAGCATATCCGCGGTGGCAAAATGGTCATACTAAGACATCCCACGAGACCTGAGGGATTTAAACAAATTGCTTGTATTCCACATGCGCCGGCTCACCCCAAGCACGATCTGAATTCCCCATGTTTCTTTTGGTTTTCTTTCGATTGGTAATCCAACATGGTCACCGGTCAAAGGGGTTTTGTGCGTTAAACAATCCTACAAGCGCCAGTGATCTAGCTTCAACGATATGGAATTCCTAAGTGTCGGAATTCAGGCCCGTTCAAGCTGTTTTTTAGGTTTTGCTGAAATATTAGAGAAGTTGTGTACTGTAAAATCCTACCTGCTAGTGCCGCTGCCAATGAGGAAATCAACTCTCATTGGCTTCAATCGCAGATCGCAGCGGTTTCAAGATGAAGGCAAACAAGTCAAAATGCATTCGTTTTGACAGCATTCGACCTTACATGGCAAAGAAATTTCGTGAATACTTTAGGCTATCGAGCGATGAATTCTTCCGCTCCCGCATCATAGCCCTTTTTTCGTGCGAACGGATAACCCCAGAAAGTGAGTTCCATAGCTCACTTTCTTGGGGAGGAACCTTACGCTAACCAACGTAATGTCAAAAATGACACTTCTTCCACTGACCAGAAGTCTGTGGTATTGCACAAGAGGGAGTTGAGCTGCTGCCTGCGCATGGTAGTGTTGTAGATTAAGGTGAATTATAACATATTGAACAAACAAACCGGAAAATAACAGGAAAAAATATTTCGAAAAACAGCCCGGGTGACCCAGAAATTTCTGACCATCCTAATAAAATGTGTGGCACATCCCAGCAAGGGATCGATCAACGTCAAAGCTTCATCCTTATTCCTTATAGTACTGTCGGCTTCCAACGACACCACAGTGAAGGTTTGGAATGCTACAAAACATTTCTGTATGTCTACACTACGCACGCACAAGGTTTGTGTTTAGCATCGTCACATTTTCGCTGCTCTCCATCCAATCATTACAGGATTACGTGAGTTGCTTAGCATACGCCAAAGAACATGAACGTGCTGCTAGTGCGGGATATGACCAGTCTATCTATTTATGGGACATAGCTACGTTGACGAAGCTTACTACTACTAACAACACTGTGACCAGTAAGTAAATATAGCGGGTTGGAGTGATGTTGAAACTGAATGTTTCAATATTGCTTTGCAGCTTCGTCCCTCATGGGCTGTAAGAACAGTATCTATGCTTTGGCGATGAATGATTCTGGCACGGTCATAGTATCAGGCAGTACGGAAAAGGTAAGTTTAGAACATGGTCATCCTCTTCATCTCCCGTCATGAATTGCCTCCTATTTGCGCCTTTTGATTGTCTTTTATCTGAATTGCCACATAGGTGCTCACTTTTCCCTACCTCGAAGCAGCCTAGTTCATGGGTATGCTGTATGGTGCTATTTGCAAAGGTCTCAAATCCTTACAGGTGCTCCGAATCTGGGATCCCAGAACGTGTCAAAAAATAATGAAACTTCGTGGACACACTGAAAACATACGAGCTGTTGTTATCAGTCCTGATGGCACAAAGGTGCTTTTTGTTTCGTTATGGTTTTGATTCAGTGATAGTTCACTTTGAAGGAGAGTGGTTTTGATCACTGATTTTGAGAACATTAGAACTGAATGGTTATCGTTTTCAGTGTATCTCGGCAAGCGCAGATGCAACAGTTCGTTTATGGGATTTGGGACAGCAGCGGTGTATAGCTACTTGTCTAGCCCATCAAGAAGGTGTTTGGACATTGCAGGTACAGGCAAAACCCCCATTTACCAAAGCAGCGTTCATGGTCAACAGCCCTTTGTAATTTACGAGATTCGTGGCTGAGTTTAGATACTCATTGCTTCAATCTACTCACACCGCGGAATCTGTTTTTCTGCGACGTCTGGCCATTTTTTTCTCATAACTTTCTTGCCGACAATAGTTGGATACATTACTGATTGCAGTACTCGGCTCGTGTAAGCATAAAGGTACACGATGAGTCGTGTTGCAAAAAGAGGCAGTTGGGAAGCAGCAATAGAATGGGGACCCATAGCAAATGAAGTTGAAAATTTGTATCTTTTGGAACTGGTCCATGATTTTCTATTTGTGAGCAGTAAATCCTGTTTCGTCTGTGGGTAGGTTCTTCAAAAAGAAGTAGATATGTAGTCGAGGTATTGAGTGTGGGACAGTTGGGGTAATTGTATTTACCAGACTGAAGCTATTTTGGCAAATGATGGAAGCGATTTCGCTCCCATTATTTGTGCAAGATCACTCTAGTCAAGTCTGACATCGACCATCCAGCCACCACCATTGGGAAAAGTAAGGGATAAAGGATCGCGTTGCAGTGCTAGCGACTGCTGAGCTCGAAAGAAATAAATGCGGTCTCATTGCAATACCGTGAAGTTTTGGATTCTGCACTTTTGTGCATCCGAGGGTTCCTAGGTACGAACGCTGGTTAAAGACTTTCACCATGTTTCTTTTCCTTCTCGGAATTTCTCTTGAGAAGTAAGTAATATTCTGGCTTTAATGCTACTTCTTTTCCCCATCTGGCGAAAATTTTCTTCCTCTAATTTTCGAAATTTCTGTAGTTCGCCATGGACTAGCTGGATTCAGACTTGCGACAATGTCTAGGTGATGTTGTGTCGTGTTGCATTCGCGCAAGCCTGTCCTTATTTGTCTCAAATTCCGCACTTCTTCGCTCCCAGATAATGAAAATTTTTTAAAAGAACACGGAAGCTGCTATTTGTTTGGTCTTGTACGTCGATCTAAGTATTTCTTCTTTGTTCTATACGAAGTTCTGTTCAGACCGACAACGCGTTCTCGTTCGTGTACAGCGCTGGTAGAGACAGACGCGTTTTTAGGACACCAATTTGTGATTTTGCACAAAGTCACCTTCTGTTTGAAGAGGACGCCTTCGTGAAGAAGGTTAGTCTGTTCAAACAGTCTACTCTATATTGAGCTTATTCTCAAGTTTTCCTATCGCCTTTTATTATAGTTGCTGCTTGATGACCATGATCATCCCTCGGCAATCTGGTCAGCCACCTGGAATTCCACTATAAAAAGGTTGGTTTGTCGTTCATCATGAATACTGATAGCTTGTGAAAAATTGCAGGTTTTCCTTTCGCGGTTTCCGACAGCGTTGGGTTTAACCTTAAGCAAGTTTGAAGGATTACATATGACTTAATGGAGCATTTAGGTGGCCATTGCCTTCAAATACTCAGCTGTCAATAGGCGATGGTCAGATGGAAGACGATTTCGCCCATCTTGCTATCAGCTCCCTACATCGCTCACCGGATATTGTAACGGCTGGTGAGCGCTTTTTTATAACGAATAGTTCGCTACTCTATTTTAGTGTAGTGGGACTCCAGATTGCTCCAACAATGCCCTCGTATGTCAGCGTTGACATTTTTGCTACTGTATACGTTATTTATCTAGTTCGTGTCTCCCTTTTTCTGCTTCCCCTTTTTTCCAACATACATGTCAGTGTCCAACATATATGTTCTTTTCTACGATCATAGAATATTTAGGGATAATCATCTCGACAATGAAGTTAGAAGTGCAAAATAGATCGTATTCAATAAGATGGAAGGGAAGCTGCTGTAAACATTGGAATTGTGAACCTCTTTTTAGAGCGGTGGACAAATTTACGAGACAGACACATTAGATCGCCGTCACACTCGGCGACGGACGAGCTATGGAGGCTTTGCCGAGAGACGGCGGTCTTAGGGGGCGCTTGGGGAACTGGCTCGGTGACGAGAATGCATAGAAGAATCAAACATCCGGTTGCGTAGACCGATGTCTCTCGAGCAGCAGGGTCAGCAACAGCCGGCCAAATGACATGGCCGCAGCACGCAATTGGAATCATGAGAGTGGCACATTTACCACTTACGGCTCTATCCTAGCATGGAAGCGTCGCTGGCGGTAAAAGTATCTGGCGAGACAGACTCCAAGCAATTTTTCTCAAGGGACAGTGAGGGCAAATGAATTCATCAAAGCAGTTGTGATCGTGAATGAGGTAACGAGGCTTCTACGGAGAGGTCTTGGCACTGTCGCAATTTGGAAGTGCGTGAGAGGACGCTGACGCTTTGTGAGGCCGCTGTCACACATACTTGTTCACAGTGTACGCGGAATCTGTACTCTCCCGTACGGTGTGCTCTCTCGTGTATTCCTCTCCTCGCCACACTGTGTCTCTCCACTGTATCACAGTCGACCTCACAATTAACGAGGCCTTTAGTCCCAGTCTTTTCGTTGGATCCCTTGTTTTTTCTTCACTAACGCCCTTCGTCGCACCTCCTGTTCAATTGAACGTGGAGCAACACTTCAATTCGATCACGTCCCGTGCCTTTAAGTAAAGTCTCACATGAGTTTCCTGTATGTAATTATTTGCGCTCAAAATATATAAGAAGTTCTGAAAAAAACGGCATAGTTAATTATTGAAAAGGAAAGGTGGTCAGTAACATCTTGAATTTCTTTAGGGGCGACTTCAATAAAACAGGCTGGTGTCTTAAACGACAAGCGTCACGTAATAACAAAGGATTCAGATGATTGCATAGGCTTGTACGATGTCCTTGCTGGAAGGAAGGTATGTACAGTAGCTGCCTGTTGAAATTGTTGGATAATTGAATAATTCAATTATTTGAATTTTTATAAGAACAGCAGTAACTCAAATGTCTGCCACGAATCTTCAACTGATCATGACAAATTCCAGGTGGCTGATTTTGGTAAGAGGCCATTTGAAGATGTGGTACTGGAACACAA